TGTGTGTGTGTGTGTGTGTGTGTGTGTGTGTGTGTTAGTGTGAGTAATCGTGAGCAAAACAGAGACAGCAGTGAACATTTATAGGAGCTGTGTGATTGTGTGAGACTTGATTAAAAGGAAGAGACACAAAAAGAAGGAAACGAGAAGGAGACAGTGTATTTTCATGAAGGAAGGGCTGCCCTCTAGTGGTAGCAGAAGTTGCAGGTACAACTACTCTACTGCACGTACTTAATTATTAAAATGATTGTCATCATTGCATTGCAGAATTCTGTGGCTCCTTGAGAGATAGAAAACACAAAAAGACACCACAGTATGCTGTGAATATATATATATACATACATATGAAATATTAACAGATCATCCTTCAAAACATTGAATAATGATTTTTTAACGTAGGACTCAGAGACCCGCTTCTTTGAGTTGTTTCCCTGGGTTCAAACATCTTCCCCTCACAGTCCCTCTCACCTTCTCATTTCTGTGTTCGGCCTTTAATTGGACATGAGAGTGGTTTGAACCTGAAGAAACCGGTTGAGCCCGCGTCCTGGAAGTGATGGTGGATCAGCAGCTTTACAGTTCAAAGGTTGTGGGAGTTAAAGAGAAGTTCAAAGTCAGCAGTCAGTACTTTATCGCCTCATGTTTTATTCAGACCAGGAGCCGTCTAGATTGCGGTATGTTGGAGTGGCGTTGTGTAGAGGAGAGAGAGCTGGATAGACAAGACAGGGGAGAGCAAGAGAGAGAAAGAAGCACCTGGTTCCCCATCCTTCAGGCAGAACATTTCCATCTGCCTCTCTATATAATGATTACTATAGAGACAAGTAGCATTGCACATGAGTGTATATGTGCTGTGTGTTCATACTTGTGTGTTTGTGTCAGTGTGTGACTGTATTTATAGAGCAGTGCTCGTTTAGTCCTTTTAAAGAACACATCACAGCATACTGATGAATCCAACCACCAAATAAACAAACTTCTGCAAGCACACAAAAGAAGACAACAAGCTAAAAATATACCTCGAAGTGCCAAACGTTCGCTGCTCAAGAGTCAAACAGCCTCGAGCAATGTACTTATTTTAAAACCTCTCACGTTTAAAACAAAGCAGT